AATAATTCCAGTCATACAGCATTCTCGTACTGATGAATTTACAGAGATGGAAAATCGACTAGTGAGCAGAGGTTAGGGAGGGCAGGGGCAAGGGAGACAGATGCCACCAGAAGCGGGTGGCAGGAAGGTCTTCCTGGTGAAGGAACAGTTTTGTATTTTGGTTGCAGTGATGATCACATGTATCTACACAGCTGAAAAAAAGGCACAGAACTATATACAGGCATTGTATCAATGTCAATTTCTTGATTTTGCCACTATATCTATTTTATAGTTGTATAAAATGTAACCACTGAGGGAAACTGGGTGAAGTTATATAAAATGTAACCATTGTGGGAAACCAGGCCTCCTCTGAACTATTTTTTGAACTTCCTGCGACTCTATAATTATTTCAAAATAAAGCTTTAACAAAATAAATAGGAAGAATTACTCATGTAGGAAATAAATTCAAAGCCATAGTATTAAAACAGCACGTATTAGAGCAAGAGCAAGCAAGTTAACCAACAGAACAGGATACAGTGTTCACATGTATAAGAGAACTTAATAGTAAGTGTGGCATCACTAATCTACGGGGAAAGGGGAGAAGGACGCTAGGAAAACTGGCACAGTATATGGAAATTAAACTGGATCTGTACCTTGATGGGGCACAAGATGGGGCAAAAGTAGGTTTACAGTTTGTATGGAAAATAACACAATAACTAATAAATAATAATGTAAGAAAAAACCCCTGTGTTTTGTTTGCTTAAAACTGTTTACCTATTTTTACCACACCCTGTACAGTCACGTGCCCCTTAACAACAGGGATATATTCTGAGAAAGGCATCCTGTGGACCTCAAGAAAGAAGATACCAGGAAGGGTTCCTGGTGGCTGAGCTCAAATTAAAACCAAAAAAAAGGTCCGGACCTAGCAGCTATTTCTAAACAGAGGTATCTCACATAAACCACACCCCAGGGAGAAGCCAGCAGGAACTGCCTGCCCTTGGCCCTGAACTGCCTGCCCGCACTGTGTCCCTGCCATGTGAATTAGTCCTTATAAAGGAATTCCTGGAATTGTTTTTCAACCAGTGCACTGTCTGATGAGAGCTGTGCAGCTCTATCTCCTTTAGCATCCTCACTGACCAACCAGAGCAGCTCCATTCTGACCAATCAGGACAGTGCTTTTCGGACCAACCAAACTGCTCAGATTTGGAGTCCTCATCTGCCTGCGGACAGACCAGCAGGGCCCAGCGACGGGACTTCTCTCCAAATGTCAGCTAGCTCCCCTCTGGCTTGGAGAGCACACTTTTCTTTTGCACCAAGACTGAAGACTGTGTTTCCCAGGCTGGAGTTGAGATACCAAAAAAGTCTTGCAGGACCATACAGAATGGGTGGGAGCAATGCAACCCGGAGCAGAGCGGAGCAAGGTGGAGCGGCCCAACCGCAGCGGAGCAGAGCTGCCTCGCCCCAGGCCTGCCTCACAGCCCCGCTGCTTCAGAGTTGAGCTGTGACACCGCTGAACTGTTCGACAGCCTTGCTGTATCACAACGGAGCTGTTTTTACTGAATAAATTTCCCCTTTCCACCATACCCCAAACGGGGGGCTCCTGTTGATATTTAACTGGCACCAATGACCATGGGTTGACAGTCCTTGGCGATTTCATCATTGCGTGTCCATCGGAGAGAGCACTCGCACAAACAGGCGGTAGAGCCCACCGCACCCTGGGCTACATGGCACGGCTTATTGCTCTGTCGGGAGGAAAATTAAGTTCCCTCTGTCCTTCTGGGTTCTTGACTGAGACATCCCTATACTAAAAGACAGGTCAGCAGGAGAAAACAAACATTTAATAACATGTGTGGTACCTGAGGGAGACTCATGCACACTGGGCAACTCCTCCAAATCTTCTCTAGAAAAGATGTGGAGGGTGGGAGGCCAGTTCTGGGGCGTTACCAGGGAGACAACGGTAAGGGAGGGTAAGGCGGCTATACAGGTTCACCAACCCTGTCCTGCCCAGCTTTCGACAAAGGAGAAACCCTTACAAACGTAAATGTCTTCAACAAAGGGTAACTTATACTTGGTTTTCAGAACTTCTCCCCGTCTGCGGTTTCTTAAAACTAACCAGGCTAAAATAAAATAATCCTTATGTCAAAGAGGCATATTTAGGGGTGACAAATTCTGCTCCCCTAAGCTCCTAGGCTACAACCCTAAGCAACATGTCACTGTACTGAACACTGCAGGCAATGGAACACGATGGTAAGAATGTATGCAATGCCTTGAACTGTGACGTTACGATGGCTACGACATCATTAGGCAATAAGAATTTTTCAGCTGCATTATGATCTCATGGTGTTACCATTGTGTACGTGGTCTATTGACTGAAACATCGTTTCAAAGTGCATGACTGTAAAAAGACACACTCTGGATGTCATGAAGATCTATAAATTTTAAAGAAAACTATTAAGTTAATACATAAAATAGGAGAGTAACTTTGTGCCACAGAGTTGGGAAACAACTTCTTAAACAAAACCCCCAAAACACAAATGATAAGTCAAGAAAAACCTTAAATTTTATTATACTGCAATGGAAGATTTGTGTTCAATGAAGGACATCATGAAAAAAGTTGTAGACAAATGACAGAGTAGGAAGAGATATAATATTTAAAGGACTACAATATTTAAAGGACTAGAATCTAGGAAATACAAGAAACTTCTGCAGGTTAAAAAGAAAAGGACTGAAACCTCAAATTTAAAATGGGAAACGGGATGAATGGGCAGTTTTGTACAAGGCAAATCCCATAAAAGATAAAATGCACATGAAGAAATGCTCAATCTCATTAGGCATAGTGAAATGTAATTTAACAATGAGTTTTTCCTTTGTTATCTATCAGGCTGGTGGGGATATAAGGATACAAAAATTCCCATAAACTGCAGCTTGTTCTGGAACACAATCTGTAAATCTTTCAGCAAAATATGTATATACATATCCTATGATCCAGAAATCACATTCCTGGATACAAATCTCAAAGCAAGCATCATAGTGGTCTAAAAGCTATGTTTATCTTTGTATTGTCTATAGTGGTAGGAAAATGAAGGTAATGTGAGTATCCACAAGTAGGAGAGAAGACATAAAATGTAGTAGATATACCTTCTGAAATACTATGCAGCAGTTAGAAGCAATAGACAGAGACAGAAATAGATCTTTAAAGCACAGTAAGGAGGTAAAAAAAATTAATGAGATATATAGCACGACATGATTGCTACAAATGAAAAATGTGGGCACCCAAAACAATATAGACTAATGACACATACAAACAGAAGGATACACATCACTCAAATTAGTTGCTTATGGGATCCTAACGCGTTGATAGCCAAGAGAAGGAAGTGGGAATTGGAAATGAAAGACAATGAGATTTAAAAAACAAAAACAAAAATGGGAGGCATTCCTTGAATAGCCCAAAGCTGATCACTGAATCAAAAAGGATTAGCTCAATCCTCAGCACCTGATGTCCACAACAAACTTTAAGGACTCACACCAAACACAAAGCACACCACTGAAGCTAAAGGTCATCCTACCCTTATCGTGACAAAGGCACAAAACCAGCTCAGTACCTTTAAAGTTTTCAATGCTAAGACTGTTACAGATATAAACTACCCCACTGCCTTCACTTTAAAATAGAACTTATATCCAAGATAAAAATCAAATTGTAAGATACAAGGCTATCTCAAAATTCAAGTTCCCACATGACACTCAAATATGGCAAAGCCCAGTTTGATTTATCTAATGATCAAGATATTTTAAAGTTTAGTGACAGTTGACAATAATAATAAAGTGTATACTCTAGTTTTGCTGTTAAGTAGGACTCTGAAGCATTTTAAAAATGAAAATAGGCATTTAAACAAATGAATTTCTCCACCATAAGCTATAATTGAAATTAATGAGGCATCTTCTATTTACACTGTTCTATTTTTCCAATTTGAAATGACTATGACCTGCTACTTTGAATGAAACCAGGGCAATCTTTGATTCTTCCTACTAATAAAAGCATTTCAACACATTGTTTTCACCTTTAATCTTCCCTCCACTCCCCCTGCATCCCCCCACAATGTCTCCTAGTTGTGTGTATGACAAAATTTGAAAAACTGCAGTTCAGTTTCATACAACAGCTGAATCAATTGCCATCTTGTCCATGAAGTCCTAAGTAATTAACATCTGCAAAAGTCATGGCTTGTCTTTCTTGGCTCCTGACAACTGTTACTGTGAAATCCATATGTAGCTCTCACGAACCTTAAAATCAACAGCACCAACAATACCACTGCAGCTTGCGATGTAACTGTAGCTACCACTGTTGCAAACTGTAAGTGCCTAGCACTTGTGAAACTGACAGAGCAAGTGAATCAAAACTTAAAACGCAATTTCTGAGTCAAAGGCTGGGTAGTGCTGACCCCAAACATCGTTTCAGGATGCTGGCCTCATTTGTGAGAGGCAGTAGCAGGTATCGTCTTAGACCAAGTCCTAGAGCAAAGGGATGAGAAGAGGCAGGTGGCTTCTCAAAGATAAAACTCTGATAGACGTCTCCATACCTTAGGCAAGGGCAAACTAAAGAGGAGTGCCCACAGGTAAGGAGAGACCCTATGTACCCCCAAACATGCACATTACAGAAACACACTGTCAATAACCACCCACCCATCAGCACCAACCACCTTTACCCCATTTAGATTGCCCTGGAGAGCAGGGCTGTCCCATCTCAAGACCACAGCCAGTGTCACCAGAGGCAAATGTCACTTATCAGGCCAGGGAGCCCCATAGACCCCCTGGCAAGACCCACGATCCGGGCAAAGGCGCCTCGCTGGGGGCCTGAACCTGTAGGCGTGGCAAGGCACTGAGCTTCCAGCAGCAGGGCTCTGACAGCCGGCGCCGCTACCGGAGGGAGCGGGCTGTGACCCCTGACCTCGGGCCCCGTGACCTCCACGTTGTGGCTTAATCCTCACTGGAGACCCCCTGGGGAAGCTCGAAAGCCCCCTCCCTACCTGTCACAGCTTCATCTCATGCCGTGATGTTGTCTGTCGGACCACAGGTAGACGCCTAGGCAAAGGAGCACGAGGCAAGGACGTATCTAGGACGATTGTTTGTGGTGGGAAAATCCGGGTAGGAAAACCTTGGGGACCAAAAACCCAGCCGAGCCCCCGATCCCCACCGGGGCTGCACCGTGAATCTACTGCCAACGCCGCCGCTGCTGCCGCTGCGGTAAATCAGCTGACACCAGCCTACACTGCCGTGACTTTCGCTGCAACTGTCGCAAAAAACGAGGGGGAGGGAAATGCTCGAGGTTCCCAAGCTCTCCCGGCCTAGGCTGGAACCATGGAGACAGAACGGAAGTGAAGAGGTCAACTGAGGGCAAGGAGTACATGGCCGCCATTTTTGCTATGGGAAGTGTGGTCTAGGCTCTCTTCTCTCTTCGAATGCCCGTGCTGGGAGGAACAAGATGGAGGGAAGATTTACATAGCATGTGTAGCTTGTTTGTGCTTTTAAGCAGGGTGTTGCAGGTTTACCCTTCTGCCTTCGCGACTCGACCCAAGAACCTGAAAAATGTTCTGTAACTTGATGACTCTTTTCCTCTGACCCCCAAATTTAGCGGTTGCCCCATGAAGGGCCAGACAGAGGAAGAACTCTGCTACTTGACTAGAGGAAGTGTGGCCTTGTGCAACATTCCCGCAGAGGAGAGGGAAGGAATGTGCGCTCTCTGTGTGGGCAGCAAAGATTGGTGGAGCGTGAGTAGTGCATTCAGAGAGGACCCCGGTTCCTCCACTCAACACCGTCAGTGACAGTGGGATGTGTTGCTGCTTCTCTTCATTCCCCTCAGTTTCCCCCTGTACAAAATAGGCATAATGACCTCACGGACGTCTGGAGTTGAAACGAGCTCAACAAATGTAAATTACCAATTATGTTGCCTATTTGCCAAGTATTTATTGAATGAATGAATGAATGGCCATCAAGGGAAAACTGGGGCCATTCTGGCGGGAAATGGTCAGTTCTGTTAAAAAGATAGAAAATATTTTCATTCCATGGCTTTGTTTTTCCTTTACAATCTCACCATGTGTTTGTGGGACAAGTAAAAATTCTATTATAGTTCTCAAAAGTTTCCGTGTTTTCAAATCAGCTGGGGAACTTGTTAAAATGAAGTTTCTGATTCAATAGGTTCAGAAATGTCAGTAGGTTCAGGGGGGCCTCAGAATCCCCATGTCTAACAAGCTGCCAGGTAATGCCCATTACTGCTGGTCCTTGGACCATATCTTGAGTAACAAAACACTATGGAACAGGCTTGAAGCAGGGGTTTAGGGGATTAGAACAGAGCAGAAAAAACTACTTCGGGCAGGACAATGTCTTTGCTAATTTGGCAAAAGACAGGTAAGTGTTGGTTGGGACAAAAGGCTCCAGTTTATTTTTCAACTGTTTATTATTGAAGGTGCAATTTATTATTTCCCAAAATAGCAAACTCCCCTCCCCTTCGCCCCAGCTTAAAAGTTCTTCTCCAGCAACACACTCCACACCCATCAATGTCCTGGGAGGCACACCTCGATTTCTGTCACTAGGCTGTTCGACATTCTTTAGGCCTTTGGTGTTGTTTCTTATTTGCTGTACCTGTTCATTTGTAGAGACCAGCTCTTCTTGCCACCATAATGAGAAAAACTAGAAATGTTGACCACTGAAGTCAATAGAACACTTGAAAATCAATAATTCTGGAATTGTCTTGTACTGCAAGTTAAATTTCTGTGGTTTTCTTTGACTTTTGACTAACAAACTGCCTTACAGTCATGTGGGTTAGGGTGAGCGGGGTAGGGGGAAAGGAGAAAAGTGATGTTAAAGAGAAGGAATAAATCCCTTAGCCTGCTGGGTTCAATACACTCACTCCATCTGTTTTGATGATGAGTACTTTTAAGACATTAAGTTCATAATCTCCTTTATAATTTATAAGTACCTTTTGGAAATATAGGAACACAGAATGCTTACCACAGGATAATCCTTGGTTACATTAAAGCTTGTTTGGTTTGTAAATGAAATCTATAAGATATCTTTTCTAGATAAAGTTGACTCTTATGTTAAGCATGTATTAGTCAACATTTACTATGTTTCAGTAGATTCCTAAGAATACAAAGTTTAATAGGAACATTAATGAGAAGCTTTCAGACCATTAACACTCTGGGCCCTCTCTACCAAGTTTACAAAATGTATTGCCAAGGTCTGTATACAAGTATGTGTGTGCAATCTCCTGACCACAAGACTAAAATAAATATTCAAATGTTAGTGAATAAAGTGCTTCCGATTCAGAAAAATTCACACATTTCTATACACACATATATCTGCTTACATATAAAGCTTTCTAAAAATTAATATTTGTAACCAGTGGGATGATACTTACTTTAATAACTTATTTATTCCTCTAATCTGGAGGAATTATACAAAAATCTTAAAAAATTTAAATAATATATTTAGTTAAATTTGTATATTTGTTGAATGTTAACTGAAAGCAATGCTGAAAAAATGAGAATTTGGCATGGTTAGCTTCTGTAAAGGAAGGCAGACTCTGCTTCCCACCAAAATTTACAAAATAGGGAATTCCCTAAACATTGGAAAGTATGTTGGATGCTGGGAAGCTCAAAAGAATGACAAACATCTACCAAGATTTATGGCTATAATACAGTGCAGTACGAAAAATATACTACATAAGCGGTATTGGAAAAAAGAAATAAATTACTTCTAGGTTGGGGTGAGAAGGAATAATCACATTTGATTTTAGAAAAAAGGGCAGGATTTGGAATAGGAAGAACTGAAATAGGAAATGAAAAGAACCTCATTGCCAGTACTGAAATGTAAAACATGGTGTATACAATAAACAGAAGGTTAAATTGGGGAGGAGTAAGGAGACATGAAGTAGAGGTATTGCGGAGACTCGTATGAGGACTTAGATATTTCCGCTATGTGAGGGACTCCTTCAACAGTCAACCTTTGCCCTGGAACTCTTTTTTTAGGTTGATACAGTCTTTATCAGATTGATCCAGATAAGGTAAGATTATGAGAGGCCTTGCATGTCCTTACATGCTTTTTTTAGACTTTATTCCAAAGGCAATAAAAAGTCACTGAAGAGTTTTGACCAATAAGTGGAATGATGCTTTTCCTAACAGTATTATATCAATATTTGATTTTATTGCTGTATAACAAATCACCACAAATTTAGCGGCTCAAAACAAAACACGCATTCATTGCCTCACGGTTTCTAGGGGAAAGGAGTTCAGGCACAGCTTAACTGGGTCCTCTGCTGAGGATCACACGGGCTACAACTGAGATGTCAGCCAGACTCCATCCTCCTCTGGCGGCCTGACCAGGGAAGAATCCGAGTCCAGATTCATTCAGGCTCATTCACTTCCTGCAGCTGTGTGACTGAGCGTTTGGACCTCAGATCCGGCCGGCTGCCCACATGCCTTGCCACGTGGGCCTGCCTGACCAAAGGCTCTCACACAACATGGCAGCTTACTTCTCCTGAGCCAGCAAAGACAATCTCTGTACTGAGCTCAAGGAAGGTGAAGTCATAGGTATAGATAGCACAAATATATATATATATATATAGTTAAAGCTATAGAGAGTAAACTCACCAAGGGAGTGACAGCTCATCTCCTTTCCCATATTCTGTTGGTTAGAAGCAAGTCCCAGGTTTCGCCTGCGCTCAAGGACAGTGTGTCAGCCACAAATATCAATCTGGCAAAGAGGTAAGTTGTCGTTGTTGTTTTAACCAAAAACATATAGTCACCAGGACAGAATCATCAATGCAACCCATGGAGTAAGGGTTGCGGATTTCAATATGCCTCATTTCAATGCCATAGGCATTAAAGAAACTTAAGTATCACTCTGTCTTTAGAATTGAGTTGCAATTATCCTACAACGCACCGAAACTTCCTGGACTTCCTAAATTCCAAGTTAGTTCTCCAAAAGGCAAGGAGAATTATTCCTCCACTTCACAAATGTCAAAAAAGCAAGATTATCATGCTACCCAGTGGTCCATCAGTGACCTCATTATTACCCTCATTTTCAGATTGTTTCATGTGTGCAGTTATTGTTTTCCTCATTTAAATAGTAAATCTGTGGTTTGGTGCTCCCCCATAGTGACTTGTACTTTACTAATTCTGTCCTTCTCTCAGTGGACCCGTTCCCCTAAAAGTCATGTCGTGGTTGGGGGCTTTACGTTAGCACTGAGAGTCCTCGCACTTCATCGGGTTGCAGAGGAATGGCTTAATAAGTGTTCTGTGTATGGTTTTGTATGATTAAAACTATTCGAGTTTCCCTTTGCAATTTCTCACATGTCACTAACGTCATCTGTTTTGAGACTTCTCTTTTTTTTCCCTATCTCATGATTTCCATTGAATCAAACCATTTCTTTTTAAGTAACAGGATGTCTTTTTAAAGAAATATCTCTATATGCCCCATACTCATGTTTTCTAGGGAGGAACAAAGGTGATAAGATTGGGGTACTCCAGCTCCTCACAAATGAGGGCTTGAGGGCCCCCCACCAAGCCACCAAGATCAGCAGGGGGAAATTAGGAGGGAGAAGGTGGCCAGCTTCAGCAGCGGTCCTGTCACCAGGGGCTGTAGCTTGTCCTACTAACGTCCCTCTTCTGGTTCCTATCAGGATGAGAGGACCACCAAAGTCCTGGAACACTTGCTCCTTAAACCTGTGTTTAGAAGAGGATCCAGGTGCTACACACCGGACTGTGGGAGACACAGAGGTGCCCTACCAACTCCTCTGCCAGGCAAAACACCACTCCCAGCCCCAGCGAGAGCAGCGTGCGCTGCTCCGGCTCCCGGCATCTTCAGCGCTGCCTCTGGCCTTTCCGCCGGGATTACCTACTCCTGGCGCAGCCCCGCGAGTGCCTGAGCCAGACGGCGTCAGCTAAGAGCACGCTCTTGGTGAGTCCCCCAGCCGACGATTACGATCAAAGGAGTACCCTTCTCCCCCTGCTTCCTCCTCTTCTTCATCTGCTGCTTCTCTTTCTTCTCTCCTCCTCCTCCTGCTATTCTGACCACTTGAACTTTTCAAATAAAAAATTCGAAAAAAAACAAAAACAAATGCAGAGTAAACAAAGTTTTAATAGAAGGGGCAGAAGACATACATATCAACCAATGCAATGTATAAACCTTTTTAAAAAAATACTGATTCAAATAAGTTATAAAACAAATTTGGAGAAAAATTGGGAATTTTAACATTGTCTTTGCCAATATTAAGGAAGCATTGTTAACATTTTAGGTGTGACCCTGGTATTTTAGTTAGATGTTTTAAAAATGAAGGCTTAGCTTCCAGATGTGCGGGCCAAAATTTTACAGATGAAACTTCATGACACCTGGCATTTGCTCCACAAGAATCT